TCTGCATTAATGGTGCCTTTCCAGACATGCAAGCTGCCCATGCCACAAGCGCTCATGCAACCCCATACCATCAGTGATGCAGGCTTCTGAACGGAGCGTTGATAACAACTTGGGCTATCCTTGTCCTCTCTGGTCTGGATGACATGGCGTCCCAGTGTTCCATAAAGAACTTCAAATCGTGACTCATCTGACCACAGAACAGTCTTCCATTTTGCCACACTCCATTTTAAATGACCCCTGGCCCAGTGCAAACGTCTGAGCTTGTGGAGCTTGCTTAGAAATGGCTTCCTCTTTGCACTGTAGAGTTTCAGCTGGCAACAGCGGAAGGCACGGTGGAATGTGTTCACTGACAATGCTTTCTGGAAGTATTCCTGAGCCCATTCTGTTATTTCCTTGACAGAGGCATTCCTGTTTGAGGTGCAGTGACGTTTAAGGGCCCGGAGATCACGAGCATCCAGTAGAGTTTTGCGGCCTTGACCCTTACGCACAGCGATTGTTCCAGATTCTCTGAATCTTTTGATGATGTTATGCACGGTTGATGATGATAACTTAAAGGTCTTTGCTATTTTACGCTGGGTAACACCATTCTGGTATTACTGCACTATCTTTCTGCGCAACAATGGTGGAATTGGTGATTCTCTTACCATCTTGGCTTCCGAGAGACACTGACACTCTGAGAAGCTCTTTTTATACCCAATCATGTTGTCAATTGACCTAATTAGTGTTAATTGGTCTTCCAGCTGTTCGTTATATGCTCAATTTCCTTTTTCCAGCCACTTTTTGCAACTTGTCCCAACATTTTTGGGATCTGTTGACACTGTGAAATTTTGAATCAACATATTTTTCCTTTAAAATGTTACATTTACTCAGATTAAACTTTTGCTCTGTCATCTATGTTATATTATGAATAAAATATTGACATTTGCCATCTCCACATCATTGCATTCAGTTTTTATTCACAGTTTGTTTAGTGTTCCAACTTTTTTGGAATCCGGTTTGTACTTCGATTTGTTTTGTCTTTTTAAGTCTGAATGCAGTAGTTGATTAGCTGGAATGAATATATGAATGAATAAAATGTGCGTGTCTCTGCAGCATCCTCAGATCCAGAAAGAGTCTCAGTACATCAAATATCTTTGTTGTGACGATGCGTGGGCGTTGAATCTTTGGGTGACTGGGATACGGATCGCAAAGGTAAATTTGAGTTTGTTGCTTTTATGAACATCATTTATTATTAATTAAACCATGGTTTGAAACCTAACTTAACAATGTTTTTTTCTTCCAGTATGGTGCGTCACTGTACGAAAACTTTAAAACAGCAGAGAAGAAAGCAATCCTCAGCTCTGCATGGACAAACCGCAGCACTCCGTCTGGCTCCAGCTCGTCAACACCCTCACCCACCATCAAAGGTAGTGCAACACCAAATATCCTCTTTAATCAGCGTTTTTTTATTTTTTATTATTACAAATAAACCTAATGTAAGGATATCCATCCAAACATTTGACGGAAAGTTTATTGAGATGTTTTATATTTTTGTACCTCTCTCAGTCAAAGCACAGAGTCAGGCCAACGGCCATGCTTCAACAGCACAATCAGAACCACTTGCTCAGGTAAATAAAACTTTTTATTCATATGGTAGATAAAAATATAATTACAAATTCTCAAGTACAGTTCATTTGATCCCAGAACACCGTTTGTGTTTGTCCAGGAAGACATACATCAGCAATTCATATAAAGAAACCGACATGTTTCCTCAGTTTCTTTAAAATTAACTGAAATGCAACTTTACAAGGTTCTCAAAAATGAGTTTTCATAGGAACTACAAAATAAGGAAAGCAACTATAAAAATACAGTATTTCTTAATTTTCTTTTTATGTAACTAAGCTGAGTATGCAACCAAATGTGTTACAGAAAATACTACATTGAAATTACCAAGAATAAATATGATGGGCTGTTTGAGACATAATTTAGTTTCACATATGGTATATCAAGTTCTCTCACATGAAAACTCAATTTTCTCACATGAACTATCAGTCTCATCCATATATCAAATTTTAAGAGTCAAATTTTATGCTATCAATCTTTCTCACACATGCTGCTATCATCTGAATGATGCTGAAATTAGCATTTTAGTAGTAGACTATATGTGAGTGTGTTTGTTAGTATGTGTAGGAGATTATGATATTGTACTGTATGTAGGACAGTTTAATTTGTTGTGTGTAAATGATTGTATCATGGTTTGTGGTGTGGTTGGACCCAGGCGCAGACAGAACTCGAGAACTCAAGAATGAAATAAAGAATATTTATTAATACAAATAAAAAAGGCTAATGTTGCAGCAAAACTTATATAAATTATGAGGAGACGGAGGGAGACAGGAACATGACGCCGTACAGGACAATCCATGGACAGGGGAATAATAACAAAACGCAGCATATATAGACACAATAACAAGGGAACAAACACAAACACCTGGGGAAGGACAACAGGTGGCAGAGGCAGGAGCTGATGACATGAGTGCGGAACACTGAGGAGAGCAGGACAGATGGCACAAGAGACAAAACAACAAAGATCAGCTCATATTTTCATGGTTATTTGGATATGGAATTTAAAATATGTGAAAAAATATGTGAAATGTCTAAATGTAATATCAAGAATGAATTATGTCCCACACGGCCTCTCATACATCCTAAAGATGATCATTTTTACATAAATGACAGAACTTAAAATGTTGATTTGCTTTTATTTTATTCATTATTGAAACTATCCAACATTTTCAGAAGTCATTTTTAGAATCTTTATGGAAATGATGACCTCAGTTCAAAACTTGTTTGTAGAAATGCAAAGCTAAAACTTGAACTGATGACCAAATGAGTTAATAATCAGTTTGCCCATTTAATTATCATAAATGAGATATTTCTTGAATGACTCCATTCTATGGATTATTTCATCCACTTCTTGTCCATGGCATGAACCCTTTATATTTCTCTATCATCATGGGGGAGATTTTTATCACCAGAGAAAGAGGAAGTTTTTGTAAATAGTAGCTGTTTTCTCATTTTGCCTTTTCTTTCTCTAAGTCTCTTCATGGAATTTCTCTAACATCATTTCAAGGAAGAGCAGAGATGTGAAAAATGACATGAGTTAGGGAAGTGACAAGTCACATTTGCATTGTGACAAACGCCCTTAGATGCAGTGATGAACTGATTAGCTTTCACTCATCAAACATCAGCTGTGATGTTAGGAAACATGATCATGGTGTGAGAATGTCTTCACTGACAGTAAGTAAGTAATTTAAACAAATTGGTGGAAAATTGGTGGAAAATATGAGTTTACATGATGTTTATCGGTATATTTGTTTGTTTAAAATGTGGTGAAGTTTAGCAAAAATCAGAAATAAACTTGTCTCTATGTAAAGTTTGTAGATGTAGCAGGGGTTCTGTGAAAAAGGTTATGAGCAAATAATATCTTACTTGTTGCAGATAGTTCATTGGACAACCTCTTTTTGGAGAAATAGAAATAATTCTGACACAACTGATGAGCTAACGGCTAGTCTGGAGTTGTTTTGAAACAGCAGTGATCCACGTTTGTCTTGAGCACCCCCCCCCCCCCCAGCTAGCTTTTAGCTCATCCCTATTGTCAAAATTTAAAGCTAAACTGAGGCTGATTAAATAACTATTTACAGAAAGTCAAATACTAATAACTTTTCCACAGAAGTATTCTTCTGTGGATCATTGCTGAAACATCAAAGCTCCAAAGTAATCCAAATGAAATGCTGAATTAGAGCCTTAGCATGAACAGGATCATACATATCCCAGAATGCATTTCTCCACCACAAATCCTCCTTCTTTTGTTTCAATCTTATTTCCTCCTGTTCATCTTTTGTCTTTGTGTTCTATTTTATTTTATCAGGACTTTGGAAACCCCCCACCTCCACCTCCACCCTTGGATGAACTCCTCCCTCCGCCTCCACCTGACCCAGTCCACCCTCCTAAACCCCCGTCACTGGTTCACAAACCTGCTGCTCCACAGCGACACAATCACAGCAACTTCCCTCCACCTCCGCTCGGTCTGGACAACCTTCCTTCTCCTCCCCTGCCACAACCCATTGATGACTCCTCAGAACCTCCACCAGACTTCCTTCCGCCCCCTCCTCCCAACACCAGCTATGGCTCGCTGCCTCCTCCCCCTCCTCCTGTTAACTTTGCTCCACCTCCTCCTCCACCACCAACCAGTTTTGGAGGCATTAAACAATCCCTGCCTCCTCCACCACCGGATCCTCAATTCTTACCGCCACCTCCACCTAATCCAGTGTTCACAGGACCTGAGGCTCCCCCACCACCTCCACCTCCTCCACCTGCTCCATCTCCTGCCCCCTTACGGGCAGTTGGGCGGCCTGCTGGGTCGGTGAAGAAGATGCCTCCTGCGCCCCCAAAGAGGACTATGCCAGCGCTGCCGGGAGGAGACGGTGGAGGAGGAGGGGACTTCATGTCAGAACTAATGCGTGCTATGAAGAAACGTAGCGACCAGTAGTTTAAACAGGAACGAGTATAAAACAAACTGGGCCTGAGCAACATTTGTTTTCTTGAAGTTGAAGCAAGAAAAAGACAGATTCACCTCTGCACAAGTTCATCCATCCTCGCTCCTCATCGAGAACAGCATTTCAAGAAGTTTGACACAAACTGAACAAATCAAATCACGGTTTAAGAACATGAACGTACCGTCTATGGGTGCTTCAGGTTTGCTTCATGAGAATAAAATCACTTTTGTTTTAATTTACAGCTATTAAAAAAAAAGATTTGTACATATATTTGCAACAAGAGGCTGTAAATACTGTAAAAAAACATTTATTTTGTCTCTTATGGGTTTTATGCATTTAAACAACTAATACATAAAAAATTCTCATAAATGAACTTGAAAAAAATCTGATCTGCAAAAGAAACTTATTAGGTTAAAATGTTGTACTGGATTTGTTGATGTTTTCTTGTGGTTTAGTGTTGCAGCTGGAAAAAAAAAAACTCAATAGTTCGCATCAATCCACTGAAAGTGTGGGAAAAAAAGTGCCTTGCTTTTTTAATTTTTTTTACTGCGATGCAACCTAGCATAAATAAGAATTTAAAATGTGTTTTCATTACTAGAAAAATGTGACACATCTATAAATGAAAGTTGAAAGCAGAAGTGATGTTCAGACATTGTTCCCTTTGTGCTCATAAGTATAAAAAAAATAAATATTTGTGAAGTGAATTAATTTATCTTCAAGCCGCGCTCGGTGCAGTTACACATATACAACAAGAAATACATCTAATAAAACAATATGCTTCTGTGTTAACAATCAGCTGACCTTTGACCTGCTGACCCAGAATGGAGGTCTTGCTGGTAAGCCGTTTCCTCTGCAGTGGTTTATCTAAAACAAAAGAAGAGAAGCATGTGGAGCAACAGCGTCACCTAGTGAGAGAAGATAAAAACTACATGTTTGTTGCCAGTTCTTTCAGCTGATTTTTGAGAACAGGTTCACTTATTATTTGTAAAACCATTAACTTCTGCTTCTTTAATTGCAGATTCTCATGTTTAGTTTCTTGGCACACAGCTGCGGATTATGAAGTGAAATCATGTGACACTTTATGCTCTGCATAATTTAGAGTTAAATCAACAGGATTATTCAGAGTCTTAAAGTCTAGTTACACACAATCCAAATCATCAATACTTACTGTCAGAACAAAATGGCATTTTAAAAATTATAGTGCTTAATATACAATCTTAAATAATTAAGCAATAAAATAAGCTTCAGGGTATCCTGATGCATGCTCAATAATCCAGGTAGAAAAATCTAAAAAAGTTAAATCTGGTCCTCTGGACATTCAATTCAAACACGTTTTGTTTTTTTGAATGTCCAGAGGACCAGTTTTAACTTTTTTAGAAGCTTCAGGGTAGTTTTGCTGGATTTTTTTAAACACAAACAAACACACCCAGGCAAGTATTTGGATTTGTTAAATAATCTTATTTCACTGCATCAAACACTGAATAGTCTAAATGAATTAAGGTAAAGTGGCTCAGTGGTGCAGTTGGTAAAGCTGCCGCTTCTCAGTGAGAAGGTCCCAGCCGGGGACCTTTCTGGGTGGAGTTTGCATGTTCTCTACGTGGATGCGTGGGTTTTCTCTGGGTACTCCAGTTTCCTCCCACAGACCAAAAACATGCATGTTAGGCTGATAGGTAACTCTAAATCGTCCCTAGGTGTGAATGAGAGAGTGAATGGTTGTTTGTCTCGTTTGTCTCTATGTGTCCCTGTGATGGACTGGAGACCTGTCCAGGGTGTCCTCCACCTCTCGCACGGTGACTGTTGGATATGGACACCAGTGACACCCCCCCCCTCCCCCCCCACCCCCCCCACCCCACGACCCGAAAAGGAAGACACGGGTAAAGATACTGACTGGATGGACTGAGTAATACCTCGTTTCATATATATATATATATATATATATATATATATATATATATGTATGTATATTTGAGGAAGAGGAGGAAGTATCTTTGAGGAGGATTCATCTGAGCAGTGAGGATTTTAAACTGGAGGATTTTGATCAAACTGGTTAGACTGTCCGACTGAGAGATGGTGTGGTACCATCGGTTCACCTTCAAAGAGTGGGAGCATCATTATAAGTTCATTAGAGTTCATAAATTTACATATTTTATTGTCAGTCACAAGGTGAGACACCTCCATGTGTTTATTTGAACAGGTAACTAGAGACTGTAAAGTTCATATTCATGATGCTTTTTCATTTCAGCTTGAAAACTGCAGGACTACAGGAACTCAACAAAAGCTGGAGCTCCTCTGTCTGTGGCCTCTCAGGAACGTGCACGTCACACACACAACATCAGGAATGTGCACGTCACACACACAACCTCGACCTCATGATGTGAGTATTTCTATTTTAAACTTTTATTTTTTCATTTAGCCTTTATTTATACAGGTAGTCTCACTGAGTCAAGAGAACTCATTTTCTAGAGACCTGTTTAGGAGCAGATGGTGGGGGTTGAGTGCCTTGCTCAGGGGACCAGGGTGGGGCCAATGAGGGTGGAGGCAGGTGTGGGTGTTTCACCTTTTCCACCTCATTTTGATGTTGACGGTACCGGGAGTTGAACCTGTGACTTTCCGATCACAGACCCATCTTGTAACCTCTGCTCCTCCACTCCCCCACATAACATCATATCATAATGATCATATTAAAATCTCACTGGTTTCCTTCCAGATGTGTTAAACAACTACTGGTCCCCTGATGTTTCCAGGTGTCTGTGGTCAGTGGATGAAAAGCCTGGCATGAACAAGATGATGCTGGAGATCAT